CCAGCCCAGGTTGCTCCAAGCCCCGTCCAACCTGGCCTTGAACACCTCCAGGGATGGGGCAGCCACAGCTTCTCGGGGCAACCTGCCCCAGGGGCTCACCACCCTCACAGGGTGGTATTATCTTCCTAATACCTAAGCTAAATCTCCCCTCTTCCAGTTTGAAACTATTACCCTTTGTCCTATCACTACAGGCCCCAGTAAAAAGTCCCTCCCCAGCTCTCCTGCAGCCTCTTTAGGCACTGGAAGGCCGCAATAAGGTCTCCCCAGAGTCTTCTCTTCTCCAGGCGGAACACCCCCAACTCTCAGCCTCTCCTCCCAGCAGAGGGGCTCCAGTCCTCGGAGCATCTTCGTGGCCTCCTCTGGACTCACTCCAACAGGTCCATGTCCTTCTGCTGTTGGGGGCCCCCGGAACTGGACACAGTACAGCACGTGGGGTTGCCCACCCTGGGAACAGCACCCAGTTGTGCCATGCTGCCTACCAGAGTTATGGTGCAGGTGTTCTTCAGTGAATTTCATAACAAAAGAGCAACACGACAGGACACCAAACACACTTGCTGCAATAAAATTACCTACAGTACTATTTTCTTGCCTTACAGGCAATGCAGCTCACAATACTTCTGCCCTCTCTCTCCTTGGAGGCCCTGGCACAGGTTGCACTGCATCTCCAGTAGTCCAGAGTCTCTCCAGCTTCAGTTCTACCTGATAAAATGTTCCACCATAAAATGTCCAAGCACACGACAGTCTGCATGCCTGTTTTTACACATAACCAGGGAACCACTGTTGTACACAATTTTTCCTTTTGCCCGGAGTAGCTGAAGTCTGTTGCAACATACCGAGTTCCGATACATAAATATCCTGCGCCTCATACAGTTCCAGTCTTGTAGGGCAGCTGCATTCTCTCCAGATGAAAAATGATTGATATTTCATTCAAACACTCTGAGCCCCGTCTCTCAAAGTACAGCTTTATTCCACGGAAGGCTTACAAAGCAACTCTGAAAGAAAGTTCCTTGATCAAAAGACTGCAGGGATATAAAGATGAATAAAAAATGTCAGTCTATTTTCTATAGTCCATTCTCAACTGTGTAATTTATAATCACTCCTCATCAGGGAGCAAGCTCATGGGTGAAGCTGCATCTACTCTCTTTTGCTACCATCTGACAGGTCTCAGCTATTTTGGCAGGAAATATGATCCATTTTTCATCTCAGGCATGCAGCTAGGTACAAATTATGAACCAAATCCTTACGTAAGTTCTTCTATCCGTTAAGATTACCACTTGCCCTCCTTTAAAAATCTGATTTTGACATTCAGCTTATGTCTCACCTGAAAAAGGAAGGTACACCTGGAGAAGGAATGTAGCCCTTATCTAAAAATAAACTAATTTTCTTTTAAGATATGACAAAACTGAGAATATAAAACATATCTCTGCAGCATCCTGCTGTATTTGGGGTTCTGTTAGGTTGCTTAGAGCCTCCCACCAGAGATATAAAAGTATTCCAGCATGAGCTGTAGACTTCTGTTCCACTGAGCCATCTGTTTTGAGCTCTGGAAGCCATGCCCAGCTCTTCATCTCTGCCACCTGCCATGGCTTTGTTGGACACCACAGTGTTAGTCTTAGCACACATGGCTTGAGAGCAGAGAGCCAGCTGAGAGCCTAATTGCTCATGATCAGACAGCACATCTACCTCATGCCAAAGGTGAATCGATGGAATTGTTTTGTTACACCGACCATGACAAATATCTCATTGTCATGTCTGTCACTGCTCCACTGGCAAAACCACAGGTTGCTGACTTTGCACTGTTCCTAAGCTTCTTTCTGAGACATCACATTGTAGCACTCCCTGACCTATAGATCTATACTTTGTCTGTTACCGGTGTTCTTCTTAACTCTTCCAAATGCTTATTCCTGTGTTTTAACCATCATGCCAATGCATCATTGTTCCAATTCTTCATTATAATATTAGCAGTTATTGACAGGAATAGTTAATGTCCTCCCTCCTACATCCAACAGAGGAATCATATGTCCCACTTTTGCAAGAAAATCTTCACAATTACTTTTTGGTGTCCTTTTTCAAGATGCTGAAGTGCTCATTTCTCACAAGCTCTACTTACTACTCTTTCTGAAGAGCTGTACCTGTTTTATTTTGAATTCCATTCATTCTGGATGGGTCCACAGTTCAGCTATAACTCACCGGGTTGTTGATCTAACAGTATAAGAGCTAGAAGGGCAGCGTAAGAGGCTATTACTTTTCCCAGCCTGCTGTTTAAGGGCAGACCAACTTAAAGACTATATGGCGGCAGGGATAACAGGGAGTGGACATCCCTCAAATAATGAGAAGTGGGTAGTTTGGGACATGACGGGAGATGACCCATCAAGATCCCAACATCAGCTTTATTCTGTTAGTTACCTGTAGCTCAGCGCTGGCCCTGATACGAAGGTCGGGTGCAGCACCTCTGGTGTTCTCAAATGCTCCACCATACCACCATGTGCAGCTTCTCGCTTCATCTGCTTCCAGGCCACAGATTAGAGGACAGCATTCACAGGATGTTTCTCTCTGGGGACAACAGTTTGAACTCCTATATAATTGTTTTAATTAATATCAGCTAGTATTTCATAGCTGCTCTTTCTGGCAGGAGCATAACTTGCCTCACCTTCAGAGAGACAGCGAGTTCCGCTGCTGTTGGCTTAAACTACCTCCCGTGTTGAGACCCAGCTCTTCCATTCTTGTACTGGATTTGTGTTTAGGTATCCTGTGCTCAGGGCTTTTTTTCCTGCTCTCCTGCTTTTTTTTCACAGGCTTCTGCATACTTTATTAGACCTTAAATCTCGCACTGCAACGTTCAGCCTGCCTCAGCGGGCAGAGGCTGTGTTCTGGCCCAGGGCAGCAGCCTGTACTCCCACTGACAGGGCCCCTTCCCGGAGCAGCTCAAGGGCAAATCTAGTCAGGACCCTCCACACGGCCCCCTCCGTGTCTCCCCCCCCCGCTCCCCGCCCCAGACCGCACCCGACCCG